ATGTGTACACATTCGTAAGTCCTTAAAATGCTCAAAATTACTCTTTTCATTTAAAATTTCTTTTAAAATGCTCAAAATTACTCTTTGAATAGAGCATGTTTTAGCATATAATACTTTTCAATCAGAACTGTGCGTGCTTCGTGAGGGTCAATGTACGGCGGATCACCTAACTCGTCCTCAGTGACGAGTTCAAATCTAGTTACCTATTCTGCTGTTGTGTCAATGTCCGTTCTTTAATAAAATTATAACAATCTAATAGTTAGGCCTATCTTTGCTTAATATTAGGAAAACAAGTTCTTGTACTGAATGGAATTCATCGAGGATGCCAAGCTACTCTTCTCTCGTTGGACAGTGAAAAATTCTGTGTCAGCATCAGATTAGAATCGGTGAGATAATTCATTAGGATTACAATTATCTACATTTTCTTTTCCCTTTACTCTGTTGTACTTCTCTGATTTAGTTATCCTTCAATCTTCATCAATGCAGGTCTAATTGTTTTGTTTGTTTTAATGTTTTTCTGTCATGTGAAATTGTTGCTTTCAGGGTTCAATGAAAGGAAGAGTAGTGAATGGAGTGCAATATGAAGACATTAGTAAACTTGCACAATGATGGAATTAATGCTCGTGCTCGATCCATCCTCAAGATTGGACTCCTGCCTATCTGTGGTCACCAGTTGTTTGAAGCAGCTTATAAAGTGCCCTCTCCTGACGGCTCCAACTCTGTTGGGCGTCAAATATTTAATAACACGAAAGAGGATACCAGTGTTGTAGCTCAGTTGGTTGAGCAACAGAATATTGATCTTGACCTCGAAATTCTACTGAGACTATTTTATGTACAGTAACTATTATTAATACATTCACAATAAGCCATTTTTTTTAGTTGAAACTGCATATGTGACCCAAGCTCACAAACAGGCTGTAAACTCGTTTTCAAGCCAAAATGAGTTTTTGTTATAATGGCGTAGAACATATCATTTACTTTCAAATGACAGTTACATGAACTCAATCGGGTGTCTGGAAGCAAAGTTATGACCGTTCGAATAATTGTCATCTTTTCAACTTTCTTAAATCAAGTTTTGAGAAAAATGCTTTTATTTTTAGCAATTTCCTATTCCTTTTCACTAACTCCCATTTGAAAATGGCTAAATTTTGCCTTTTACAGTTTGAATTTTAAACTCAAACTTTAGGAATAGTAAGATTAATAATTATACTTTATTTATTACACAAAAACCCAATTCACACGAAATTCATATTTTATGGCATGTTCTGGCTATTGAGGCTTGTTTCTCAATACAGTGTTGTGCGAGTTTACAGCCTGTTTGTGAGCTTGGGTCACATATGTCTGTATGAAGGTTAATCTACACAACATAGATTTATGCCAGTTGACCTTTGACATGGCATGCACAGTAAAGAGTTTTTACTTTAATGTTGGCAGTATTATTGAGAAATAAGTGAGTGAAACAAATGCAGTTTGTCTATTTATCTTTTATTGTATTTTTGTACACAATAAAATGAATTTGAAATTATAGTTTTTATTAGTCGCATTGCATTGTCGCAATCATAATATCTTAATACCCTGTTCATAATTAAAACAGAAATCAGCAAATAAAAACCCTCAAAGCATAAATGAAAAACACCCTGGCAACAATTACACTAACTACTGTATTCCTTAAATAGTGTAGAAACATATATCAGAAATAAATTCATTAAATTAATTTGCTATTTTTTTATACCTTCATTCAGAACACTAAGGCAGCAGTAAAAATAATCTCTCCACTCCCACCCACCACCACTTTTACCTAGAAATTAGCATAATTGAAAAGGCGAAAAAACATCTACTTGTAGTTTCAGCAATACCATAAAATGAATATGTTTACAAATGCTACCACACTAATTATCACTTCAGTCTTAAATGAAAACACTCTGAGCTGTACATCCCAGTAATTTGATGCAGGGGTTAGCAAACAGCTAAACTTGATTTGAAATTGACAATGAGTTTTATATATATATATATATATAATATAAATCATCAAAGGTACATATACAGTGTTTAATAAGGACATGATGGAACATCGTAGGCTACCTTGTAGCTTTTCAACGAATAAAGTCCTATGAAAAATCATTGTGTAATAAAATGCCTCCGACGGGA